CATGCAGAAAGGGTCAGGGCTTCCAGGCAGGTAAGTCTTAGTGGATCAATCTAATTTAATCATTAAGTAGTTACAAGTCCCTGGGAATTCCTAGAGAGCCTCACTCTCCTGACCCCACGTAATTGCCATGCAGCTGCACTGCATTGTGGGATGAAAAACATAAATAACCAATTGGGCATGATTGTCCCATGGTATAGGAGCAGCAGCCTTTTCCTGCCTGCATCCTGAATAAGCCAAGGACCCAGAGGAGCATGAGCTTCAGGAGGCTGCACAGAAGAATAGAACAAGCTGCTGAATCAAAAGCAGCCGGCTGCCCTTACTGTAGGGACAGCGCTCTTACTAATTTCCATCTTCACAGGGTGTTTTTTTAAGTTACCTTTCAAAAGGTCCTTTTTTCGGTACCTTGACTCGCTTGGAACTCGGCTCCCTCCAGCCTCTGGTGCATGGAAAGAAACTGCCTTTCAGGAAAAAAGGGGCTGCATTGCAGGAGGTAAATTGGAGCATCACTTGCTCCAGGAATGGTCCTCCCAACGGTGGGCCAGCACATGCTACGAAACACTGACTTCTTCCAGAGGTCCACACAATAGACCTCCCCCCACCTCCCAATACCAAATACTCAAATGCAGGTGAATCTTTGAAAACAGAGATGCTTTTTCTGCGTTGCCATTTACCCCGATGACCTTCTTTACGTTCTTACAGAGAAGCATTAGAATGATTTATATGGGGGGGGCGCAAAATCTTCACAGCATCTCTGTGCTTGACACTATTGGCTCTAGTGTCCCAATGAAAATGGAATTAGACCAACACCATCCCCACCACCACTGTTCTTTTCAGTGGATAAATCTATGCAGACTATCTGTTGTAGATATCCATTGTACTCCAGGCTATTCTATACATCACAGAGCTTAAAAGCACTTGCTATCTTTCTCTCTTTTCTAAAGGAAGATGAAACGAGACATATTTGTGTTGGAGCTTGAAATGCAGAAAACTACCATTCTAATTCTCATGCCATTCCCTTGATATTTTTTCCCAGAAGGAAAAACAGAAGATGTATTCCATAAGCAGACGATTTCAGCAGCTAATTTTACCATCACTTATGGCCGACTTTATGACTAAGATTTCATGCTGACTATATTAATCCTGTCAAATTTCAGAGTGAGAGAGAAATGATACTGTATATTTTATGGCTGCAATAACTTCTAAGCCATTAGACATGCATGCTGACATGAAAGTAATCAAATTGATTTTTTTCCTATTACAATGAAGAACTTTGTATGAGCAAATAGTCTTTCTGGCACAGAACTGAAAACCCCAAGAACCTTGCATTCACTCAGGAAATTAAGAAATCACCACAAGACATAGTTCAGAAATTTGGGCATTCTGCTTACTCACATGTTATTTTCACTAAAGCAGAAAGGAACATATTAGCCAACCAGACGACCAATAAAAGACAATGCAAGGAATAATTTGGGGTTTTCAAAGCAATGTAGACACTACGGAAGATGCAATTAACTGTTTTTCCAGTATAAAGGTCTCCATTATTTTGCTCTTTTACCTATACAGACATACTTCTCTCCCTGTACAACACAACTCATGCTCTGCATTTCAAGGTGCTTCAATATCTGAACAGGAATAAGTGGAGAAGGGAGTGAAGGTGATGGCACAGTTCATCCCCAGCTAGGGACACTCCTCACGAGCTTAGGCTGCACTTTGTTGAGGAATAAGAAGTGTTAACAGGCATACAGGTGCCAAGTTACAGAGGACTCAAGCCCTTCCAAAAATAGACCTGAGGAACTGATCTTACTCTTTCCAGAGCTCCTGAAATACGTCCCAGCAGGTTCCCACGTACCACACGGTCAGCTGGAGGTCCTCAGCAGGGCGCAGGTTGGCTGGCACCGTTCTTTCAGTATATTCTGCAGCTCTGAATCAACTGCTTGCAAGAAAAGCCATTTTTTTTCCACACTGGGAAACAGTGTCAGAAGCAGCTTATCCCCAAGGTCTGGAGGAGGACTTCAATTTACAATTTGGGAAACGAAAAAAGCTTCCCACACAAACAGTGAGGGGGAGGAGGTGGCCATTAGAAGAGAAGAACTAAATCTTGCTCCAGGGTGAAGAAGCCTCCCTGGGTGAAGTCAGCTCCAGGCCATTAGATAGCGCTGGGGGAGTTGTGTTTCAAACATGCAAGCACTCCCCTTTAAACACAGTGTGTATCTAGTATCAGTATCAAAGGTCAGCAGGAAACTACAGAGCCTTGTAGGTCAAAAAGTTCAGCTGGGAAATAAGCTTAGTTTTCAGCCTGGCCTCCCCTCTATTCGTCCAAGCTTGACAAAGAACTGCTGACCTAACTGTGGATCTAGGTACACTTGTCAGTTCACAAGATGCAGTCACAGCCAGAAAGCGGTACTACCGGGAACAGTGTCCTTGCACTGCACCCTCCTTTTTCTGCTAGGGATGGATGAACAGCTCCCAAAGTGTAGGAACCTGTTGCTGCTCACTGCTTGGTACATTTAAACGACCACTGCCTGCTGTGCTTTTAACTGCTAATCAGCATCAATAACAATGGATGATTTTTGGAAAGAAACCACACAACTGTTGGGTTTTTTTTAGTTTAAATTGGATACATCTTCCTTCTTCGGTGTAAACCCATCCATAAGTAAATTTAAATTATAACAACTGATACTGAAGCCTGAAAACATGCCCCAATTTACTAATATTGTTTAAATTGAAATTAAAAAAATATTCAGGAGTACAGGTTTAACATCTAAAGTTTACAGCGAGTAAAATGAAAGTAGCTGAATTGATGCAAGTCACCTGGGAGGCATCTGGAATCAAAATCTGTCAGAGATTTAAATCAGCAGCAGTAGCCTCTTCTGCAATATAGAGAAAATATTCTCATTGCTTCAGCTCATTCAAAGAGTCCAGTTCATACAAAAACAGAGAAGCTGACTGGGAGCAGGAGAAGCAAGAAACCTCATTTTCCTCTTCCTGTTAATACAGGGGTGTTCAACCCCTGGCCAGATCCAGACCAGATCCAGGCCCCCACACCGTGTCATCCAGCCTGTGTGGCCCTCCCTACTGGGCCAGAGGGAGCCCTGTGAGCTGTGGCCTTGAGCATTAGATGGAGGGCCAAAAGGCAAGTGCCAATCTATTAACAGAAATGAAGTGGGAGAGGACAAGATCTACTAGCTCTAAAATCTTGAAGGAGATGGTGACCAGAACCAATCAGTTCAATTAATGTATTCCAGGTGATATCTTTGCTTAATACACCTGCTAATTTTAAATCCAAAACACTTTATGATAAACTCACCATTTTTCTTATGTATCCAGTACAATTTAAGTCATTCTAGTTAACAGGCAATGCTGACATGCCGTTTATGGTATTTTTAATTAAATTCTAATTTTCATCCAAATGCAGCTTTACCAAATTGCAAACAAAAAACTGAAATGAGGAACTATGAAATGTATTACTTGCCTTTTTTAAATATAACAAAACATGGGAAATCAAAAGCCTGAATTAATATACATTAAGCAATAAGACTGCTTAAATACGTATTGATATGGTGTATCCTCCCAATTAGCAAAAATACCAAATTAAGGGGAAAGACTATACTTTATTGCAAATCAACAGGTTTTAAATTGGTTACTACTCAGTAAGAATAATTTTTCTTTTGGAAAATAACTACAAAGTACAAAATTAAAATAAAACTGATCAAAATCAATTCTTTAAAGCAAGATTTCTTGATTGCTGATTTTAATCACTTTGCTTTAAATCAATATACCCTGCTACAAGCACATTTTAATGTCATTATTGCTGCTAATACATTCTGAAATACTGTGCAAAAGGTTTGCAGAAGATCAGTAATTACTGGAACACATGAAAAAGAACTCATTTTTAGATACCTCTGGCACTCAGGTTTGTTTGTTTGTTTGTTTTTTTTAATTATTTGACTTTAATATCTTTTTCTAATTAAACTGTACTAATAAAGTCCATACAACATGGAGACTGATACGTACCTTTCACGACCTTCTTTTTTGTCTTCATCCAGCACCCACACCTGTGCTTTTTGTCTTCAGCTATCTTCTTTCTCTTTTCACTGTATTATGGTTACATGGTTCAGTATAAAACTCATATAAATATCATATGGCCTTACCATGATCCTTTTCGGAAGAGGGAGCACATCCCTAACCATGGGTTGTGAGCAAGGGTGTTAATTGTACTGCCACTTATTGCTGTTCTTTCATCATTTGCAGGCAGAAAATAGTTTAAAACAGCTCCACTACTGCACTGACAGATAAGGTAAAACTTAGATGCGTATATGCATGTTTACTGAAGTTCCAGTCCAGTCTCATAAATTTAATATTGCTTAAATCCCTGCTTGTATTGGTCTGCAATGGCGCCATCTCTCATACACATTCAACTAACTTTGAAGACCTATTTTAAAGCTGTAAATACAAGGAAAACAACATGAAACTCCACCAACTTGACTTGCCTTATTGCCTCTCGAAATTACAGGAACCATCAAGTGAGCTATGTGTTGTAAAACTCCAACCCGGCCAAGTCAGAGGGCTTCAAACACTCGGTTTCCTTGCATTGCCTAGCAGTTAATTATCAGTCCTTAAAAAACAGTGCTATGATAAATCACAGCACATTCAGGACAGCATCCCTGAATGCTTCAAATGCTCACCATCACCTGAATTTATTTTTTTGGACAAAACATGTAGACATTTACTTGTATTGGCAGTCGCTTTCAAGCCCATTCTACATTGGGCAAAAGGTAGTAAATAAACTGTAAACGGCACAGACTAGTGTCATTAAGAAAGAATACTTGTATTATGCCCTTTTTAAGACCTTGGCAAACTAAGAAACTAAGCAAACTGTTCCTAGCCAAAACCCACACAAAGCAATGCACTTGTTTTAAATTCTGCAATCTACAGCTCTGACCTGCGAGATGCAAAAATCCTCTAAAGACAAAGTTCAAAACAATTACCTGTACCATGATCTCACCAAGTCTTTCTAAGAGAGATCACAAGGCAGCACATGACACATGATATTCAGCCAGTTATGACTTCACCAGGACCTACAGGGCTTTCTGCTATCAAGTAGTAAATACAATAATGTGTGTTGACTGGAGTAGATGCAACTGGGCCCTGGCCTGTTGTTTTGGGGGCACTGCCATAAAAATATTCCCAAACCCTAGACCTGGTTACCGCACAGTCAGTTATTTCAAAAAATAAGCATGCTATTTATCAAAGAATCATCTGAGCAGAACTGTGACAAAACTATGCTTGAAAGTTGTTATACAAACCACCAAAATCCATAGTTTTGCAAAGGTATAGGAAGTCCCCTGGGAGAGGCAGTGAACAATATCAATGAGTTTCTCATGACCTTACAGAGATTGCCATGACAACACAGTTTCAATCCCCCAAACATGGATATATTCATTTGGACTGGTGTGATTTAGAATAATTAGAACGAGATTCTCCGAGCTCAGGAGACAAGGAGTCACAAAGCAAACGGAGACAGCTATGTTGTACAATGGTTCATGGGAGCAATGCTGGAATTTTGAAAGAGAAGAAAAGCAGCCTCAAAATTAAATGTTAAAAAAAAAAAAAGCCTCCAAACAACACTCTTTTAGAGCTGTGTGACCTAATTCATTAAAAAGAATGTCAGTTAGCAAACCTTTTAAATAAAACATTAAGCTAGAGGTAATTTTAAGCCTTGCGGATTTTGTTTTACTCAATTATTTTTAATGCTTCAAGTTCAAGAATAAATATTCAAATAAAACCAAGGGTTTCAGCAAATCCTGTTTTTAAAAGAAATGAAGACATTTTATACTAAATTAACAATATCTTCACTCAGCTAGCCAGTTGGATTATTTCTCCCTAACACTTTATAACATTTAGGAGATTCTTTTAGGTTTTAATACCTTCTTTGAGTTGAACTTTTACCTTGGGCCTTGTTCTTAGCTTTCTAGGTAAAGATTTATTTAATTCTGGTTCCTCTTCCATGCTATCAAGCAACACAAGGGTGTGTATTGTCCTGTAGGTGCTCAGCAAGGGTATAATGCAGGGGTTGTGCACTGCAGGTGTGTGTGCCCCCAGGGGCACTTGGGAAGGCCCCAGGGGGTATGCGGCAGTGGTGTGGAGAAGCGGGGCTGCCAGCACTTTGCACCGCTGTGTGCCATGAGCCACTGGTCCTTTTGTTTTCACCAGTGCCATGCACCACTGGTGCTTTTGCTGCCGCGCACCACTGACGCTTCCAGTTTTGCCACCGATCACCAATCGGCCACCACGGGACTCCCCACTTCTTGACCCACCGCCAGGGGTACACCAACCAAAAAAGGTTGAAAATCCCTGGTATAACGTATGCCGGGGTGACCAGAATTACTCAACGTGGGAGCCACGTCAGATCCTCCACTGAAGTTCAAGAGCTGAAAGGGGGCAGGGGGAGGGTGCTGAGCAACCCAGAGTGGAAGTGACGGCCCCCCCATACTGTTCCGGCTTTCCTCACAGGGAGCATGCCCCAGAGTAAGCGGCACAGCTGCAGCCCCAGCAGCCCGATGCCTGAGCCAGCAGACCCAAAGGAGGGGGGCAGGCTTGGGGTGCACTCCCCCTGGGGAAACCCGGAGCAGCAGGAGGTGCTGGGCTGTGCTGTCCCCAGGTGGGTGGGCCTCACCCAATTTCCAGAGAGCCGCAAGTACCATGCTGGCGAGCCGCATGCAGCTCACAAGCTATGGCTTGGCCACCACTGATGTATGCACTCCCATTAGAAGACCAGCTGGAGAATTGGGAGGATACTACAATGGGACACATCCAGATGAGCGGGAACATATGGTATGCGGCGCCACGAACCTATCTACAGTGCCGTATACTACACACACTGCACATGCAAGGGTTCCTCATGCTGCTAATTTTTGCAGTGTGGGGTTTTTGTTTTTTTGACAACCAGAGATTCTGGCATCACTAAAACCTGCACCTAAAGAAAGTGGGGTGGTGTAGTGGTGGTAGCGTGCCACCCAAACCCGCAGCCTGGCCGGCTGGGACCACATTCCAGCTGCCAGCCAGGCTCCTTGCTGCTGCCCCCAGAGGCCCCCAGGTAAGCCCAGGTGCTGGCCCCTGCCTCCCCTACCGCACCCAGGGCTATGTGC